GCTGTGAGTATTACTAGCATTCTTCCTTGCATCGCCACTTTGCGAAGCTTGTGAGACAGCCAGGAAGTCTCAATGCTTGCAGCAAAGCTGCGTGATGCCAAAGAGTCCGCCACTCATGCATGGAACCAGGTCATTGCCGTCATCAAACCACTTGAAGTGGAGCTTCCAGTCGAACATCATCTTCACCTGGAAGTCTATTCCCGAAAATACGCCATCGAATGTGGAAATGCCTTCAGGGAGTTCTTAAGGCAAGCTAACGAGAAAAAGTTGCAGCATGGCACACATGTGTTTGGAGCAGTCAGCAGAAGCTCAACATCCAGGCCAGGAGTTAAACCTGTCAAGAAGTGCTGCAGCATGTCCGACTGATCGATGAACCCTGCGAGCCTGGAAGGTAAGCACCAAGCCCTTAACACCGGAAAAAACTGTCACTGCAGCAGTGATGCTCCCACCGCGCGGCTGTTGATTGTCCACTTCTCTCCTCAACCCAAAAACTGCCGGCAGGCTGGCTGCTGGAAGCAATAGGTTGGTCAGTAGCCTTGTCATCGTGGTCTTCATGTTATTGCTAGGCTGCCACTAGTAGTATTGCGAACCTTTGGCAAACTGCCTCGGCTCCTATACCCGAAACTGCTCAGAATCATTCGGCCAAGTGGCCGTCCAAGATGGGAATCAGGGGCACCTCTGCTGGCTTTGCTTCCTCTCAACAGGAAGACCCTCTAAACAACCGTGCAACTTACTCCAAGCTCTATGGTTGCTTACCAGGGCACTTTATACATGCTGCCTTCAATCGGGCTTTACAGACTTGTTGCAGAAGGACTCGGACTTACACCGGCCGTGATCTGGGCTGCGGCCGGGGTGCAACAACCCTTTTGTAATTGATGTTCACGTGTCCTTGGCGGCGACTGGTCTCTGTTGAGTTACATGTCCATGAGCAGTATGTAATCGCCTTCCCCGCCACACTGCGAATTGTTTTGCCTAACCCGTTCAAGCAACAAGTGCACGCATGCAGCAGTATGCGCATGAACAAACAAATAAACACATAGAGTACATATATATATATATATGTATAAGATGTGAATATACGCACATGTATTTTACACACGGCATGTACTGATATGCGATGAAGCGCTGTAGGGCGATAAGAGGCAACACAGTGTACTTAAATAAATCAAGCTATCTGTATAAGTTTATGTACGTAGACACACACACACAACGTATGATCTCAGCAGTCTAACTTTCGGCAGAACAGTGGCCAGTAGCATAAGCTGAGAGCCGGGCGAAGAATTGGATGGTACCAATCTTAGTCCATGCTTCTTTGGGCCACAATTCACCGATTCAGGCACGATGCTATTCCCTTTGCTGCTACCGAAATCCTATACCTTACGTACACTACTGGGGACCTCGTCTCTCCGCACCTGGCATAGGGCCGACGTGTTCTCAGATTTGTGTGCATTGCGGCCAGGATGCTTCGAGTTGGTTTGACCTGCCAACACAGCTTAGTGGAACTTCATGGAAGATGCTGCAAGAACTCACAGGATTTGATGCTGAGTGTGCACAGTATAAAGAGGGTCTACCGTGCAACAGTGGGTACCACAGAAGGTTCACAACCTGCTCACCATTCCCAACATCAGTAGGAAAAGAAACCGGTGGACTGGCGAAACCTACTAGATTTTTCTAAAAAAAACCCTTACTCCAGGTTTTTCTAGAAAAGCCCTTACTCCAACCAGGCGGCATGCGCATCCAGGAACATGATCCTGAGCTACCGAGACACGAGGCGATGCGCTGCAAACTGCGTCTTCAATGTGGGTAGCTGTCAAAGTTATGGTCCCTTTTGGGGTACCCTAAATAATAGGTGCCGTATTATAATAAGGACCCAAAAAGGGACCCTAATTTTGACAACCGCCCATGTAATGTACTGGGTCGGAGAAGCTACTTTATCAGCCTGGGCAAAGCTCACGTCTGAATGATAACGGCCAGACCACCCGGAAACATGTTTTCAAAAAACACATGTGCGCCAACAACATCTAGCAATGCTGTCCAGTTGACCATCCTCGGCTGGACTATCTACAAGCATAACCAATCAAAGGGCCAAACACCTGCATTATCTCAACGACTCGAATCGACATGTCGCACATCTCGACAATAACTGTTCCAGCTCCGAACAAACTTGACGAAGTTCCCATTCGAACACTGCCTCTCACAAATCAACAAGCGGCGGGTGCACGAAGCAAATACATTGATGATACCGGGAAGTCTTTGAGTACACAGAATACAGATAACAGAAACAACGCAATGGTGACTATATTGTGTATCAACGCATCGAGCAGGAAAATCAGTTCGTCAATACAAGAACAGACCAAACGGAAACTTCACGCCAAACCGGTCTCGGCTCAAGGTTCGGAGACTTGGGTTCTGTCGGGGTTTCAGGGCTTGAAGTAATGTGGAGTCTAGGATGAATGGTTGGGGTGTCATTTAGCCGTCAAAATAACATGTTTGTAGGGGGGGCGTCTGAAGACTCGCAGCCCTGGTCAGTGAGAGGATGACAGGCTAATGTGGTTTCTCCTGAAAAGTCCATCAAGGCCCGCATTTTACACCCCCCAGCAAATTTCTTCGCGGTTGCCAAGCGGCATGTCTCCAGTTGCAAGGTTGCCACCCTCGACTTTTGACCTATCGTTGAAACACCACATGGTCATGCATGCGTTCGGGTTTAAACACGGCTCATAGGTGTAAAGCTTGGCCCGTAGGCTGTGGGTCTTCCGGCTTCCTTTCAAGGAGTCGTATAATCGGATTCTACTGCTCAACTTCCCTATATGAGGACAGTTGTGTCCATGAGTTTGCAAGTCAACAGTCAGCAGCGAGCCAAAGTTGCAAGCAAGAAGTTAGGACTGAGATAACGAAACAAAAGCATGAACAGGTGAAACCGAGACCACTTAGTTCACACAGGCCTGCACAAGGTTCCCCAGACGAGCTCCGGGAGCCCTTAAACCCTAAACCTCTCAACCTAGACCTGGAATCACGGCTCCCTTGACCGCCACCTGGGAGCTTAGCCACTGCCGAGCCACTTGATGAGCCCACGGCGCTCATCATGCCGCACCCTTGGTTTCCGGATGAAGACATCTCACAGGAGCCCAGTGCCATCCTACCTTCCTTGAGTAACCACGTAACTGACACCCTGGCTTTTACGCTGTGGCTGCCATTACGCAAGCTGAACGCCAACAAACTTTTCGAAGCCGAATAGTGCCACAAGCAGCATTTATCATCCGTGTGTTCGGGTTGGATTAGAAAGTATTCTAAGGATTTCCATCCTGATGCTCGGACTGGACATGGGGCTTCGGATCCTCAACCTCCAAATCCCCATAACTGGGGGTCTGGCAGTTTCACCTGGGAGTAAGGGGTCGTGATGGATTCCAACGATGGCTCGCTGCCGTCGTCGATCACGATGATCTCGACCTCTGCTACTTTTAGGGTTTTGGCTTAGGGCTAGAGTTTCAGGTTTAAGGTATGGGGTTGCGGATGGTTGCAGTATCCTGGGATTGACAGTATGGGCCATAAGGCATCCGGGGTTTAGACAGCTACTGTCCTAGGGTTGAACATGACCCATGATGATGTTGATGGTGTAAATGATGTGGATCATGATTATGACCTTGATGCTCTTAAGTGTCATGGCGACTATTCTTGTGAATATCGCGGGCTGTCCCTCCATCTTCAAGGCCGACCACACATCTCTCACAATGCCATTATAATTCGTCTGAGCATTAAACACAACTTAAGCATTTTGGTGTTGTATGATAGCTGTGTGACTTGCTTCATAAAGGCAGGGTGCAAATGCTCGCTGGCATCACGGTCCTCAAAACACACCTATACATAAGCTGTCGAAGTTAAAGTCGTGCCCCCCCCCCCCCAACCGAGCGAGGATTCGAAAGGTAATGTGTTGTTGTTTTGAAAGTTTTGACCTCTGCACACCCCTTGTACAATATTTTTGAGGATCGGTAAGAACAGTACGAACCTGTCTTTGTGTTCGGCACTTTCCGCTTAATCCAGCACTGAACACAGAACTGAAAGTGTGCGTGTGGCTCGCCCGAAAATTAAAAAATGATCTTGACAAAACGAAGAAAGACACTGGCATTGTACATCATCGGCCTCAAACAAAACCAACAACATGTTTTACCTCAAGCCAATCCCCCAAAGGCATGATTTGTCGAAGTGGGCGTTTTGAGTGCCGGTTCGTCAAAGCAAACCCTCGACATTTGTCTTGTTCAGGAAACATGATTTCATGATTTGGCGGATGGACAGGAGCTTTCCCACACAGTATGTTGGAAGAACCGCTGAATGGTGTCAAGTGGCCAATGTTTCTGGAGGAGTTGTCTCCAGGATCGAATCGAGCGTGCGCCTATGCAATCCGTGCCGGCTACAATGCATGCTGGACTGCTACACCATGCAAAACCTTAGACCCGACATGTCAGGATGCCCCATCGATGCACTCGGACAGCTTGGAATGCCGGGATTTGGAACCTTTTAATGCTAGAGGCGAGATAGAAGAAGAACAAACTGGTTCATGAGTGCTCTTGGAAAGCACGGTTGGCTTTGGTATGGCGTGGCATGGAGCTGTGGGCCTCAAAACTTATCCAGATTTCCAGCTTTGGGTTCCGCCAGGTTCTAACAACTTCGCAAGTGAAAGCCATGCCCGTAAATTCAGCCTCGGCATTCAGTCTAGTCCAGGACCCTGCCTTGTTCTCCAACAACAGCCAACTTTGAAACATGCTCGAAGCTAGAACAGGTCGGCACTATGTAGAACATCACACATGACATCCCACTCACTGTGATGCGCCCACAGACTCCATGTCGACCTCTCGTATCCACTGTCGTAACCCCACATTTTGCTGCAATAATATGGCTGTACCTCAACATCCATGAACTTCCTGATGGAACATGGAATAGAACTTCAGGTTTGGCTTGAACATCATTCGCGAAAGGCCTCTCCAATGCCACCCCGCGGTCCCAAATCAGCCAAGTGACTTCAAGTACTGATGCTCATTGTGGGCTGCCATAACGACAGAGATGGTCTTGATCGGAGTATCTCGCAAGCAATAAGGTTAACAACTCTGGGTTAGTCGCAACAACAGTAGCTAAGTAGGGGCAGTGGCAATAGCAGCAGGAGCAGCAACAACAACCATGCCCACGACACCGACTCCCCCCCTACACAAGCCACACCACCTTCGCACCCTAAACCCCGATTTCTTCGACCTTGGGACGTTAAACCTGCAACACATCCCTTCAAAAACCCGAACAAACAACCCTCTCTTGGTAACACACAAACCCCCATAAATCTGCCCAGTGGACCTAACCCAAAACCTAACCCACAAAACCCAAGCACATGTGGGGGCCTTCCTTCTTTAAAGATTTCAATCCTGACTTAGGGCTTTTAATCCGTACACCCTAAACCAACAAAAACCCTAAACACCTAAACCCTGGACCCTAAAATTAAGCTTTTCAACTCTTGTGAAACATCCTAGGGGCCCTCTTTGAACGAGCCATGGGCCTGGCTTAACGGCCTCGGCTGTATGGTGCGCCGCCCGACGCACCTGGGAAGGGAGGGGGAGATACTAGGGTTTAGGGTTTAGGGATTTAGTGTTTAAGGGAGGGTTGAACCAAAGGCCTCAGTGTCGGTTCCATGGGGCGTTAACATCATGGTTTTGGGGTTTGCGAGTAGAGGGTCACGGGTGTCAGGGGTGAGAAGGTGGCTTCTGAAGTGGGCTCGGGCTTCATCGTCTGAGGGCCGTGGGCTTCAGAATGGTGACGGGCTTGACATCAAAGCTCGAAGGCTTCAGGGAGTTCACTGTATCCACTCAAGGGAACTCCCTTTAACCATCTTTAACCTTGTCCTTCGGAGCTCAAGGAAGTTGCGGGTTCGGGCGTCACTACTGTTGATGGACAAAATTCTGCATGACCCAAATATAGTATCGTGCCATAAATCCCATAGTTTAGGTATATATACATGCAGGATTTTGTCCATCAACCGTATGGAGAAGTTCGGAATACTGTTGCATTGTCGCCTTAAGACTTAAGAAGGATGGTGTTGATGGCTTTTACATGGTGCTCTGCCTCATGCATAACGGAACCCGGCATGCACCTGGCCAAGCGTGACGCAAAGCACCTGCCGCGAGTGGGACTGAAGTCACTGTCCACGGGTTGAGGCTACTGCATCTTAATGGCGAAAAGTTGGACTTTCGACTTCATGCAGGATCTAGAAACATAGATCGCATGTACTGAATTGCTTCTTCTGAGCTTTATGTGGTTTAGCTGCCAGGCCTCCTGTCGCTACCCGGAACCTAATACGTCCGTGCTTTGGGTGTTGCGGTTTTGTGTTTGTGGTTTAGTTTGAATTTACTCGTAGGTCGGTGTTGTTGTTCTCCTGAAACCTTTATGTGGTATTGAATCGAATGCATCGCTTTGACAATGTCCGCGATTCAGTTTTGGAGCCGTCTTGACGGAGGGACGGCTTTGGCTGTCAAGGTGAGGATTGGAGTACGGTTAGGTGGGCAACGCAAAAGCAAGCAGAAACTTCATTAGTCACGATGTCCGACATGCCAACAGGACGTTTGGACACGCTTCCAACATCTCTACATGTAATGATTCGACACTGGGTGTGTGCCGACACTGTGGCATGGAACAAGAGAACCTGCTTCTGTGAATCATAGGATGCACAGCGACGTGCCATTGGCGACGCAGCTTCCAGTCCGACGGTAAATCCATCCACCCGTCCCATCCGGCCGTCTGGCTCAAGTAGACACAGACCAGGAAGGTGATGAACGGCCCGTATCGTTTCCTTCCAAGCGCGAGATGAACCAACAAACACAACAATTATAGTGCCTGGGAAACTGAGGGCTCAAGGCCTTTCAACCGATATGTCGGCAGGATTCATGGCTGCAAACTCGTTTGCTGCCGATCGCGATACTACCTACGATCAACAATAGGACGATGTCGGAAACAGGAGTACTTCTGCATGTAAATTGGGCAAGTCCTCTTAAACTGTCTAGACCTTGCGGGATCCGAAGTGTGCAACAGTGCTTGCCACCAGGCCACCGCATCCAGTAGAAATGGAGCGGAATGGCCAGCACTGACAGCGCTGCCAGTGAGAATATCAGAGTACCTCCACAAAATCCATCCCTTTGGGTCGTATCCTTCAACCGCAAGCCGCAAAACCCTGTCGAAACACGTGGTGGTTCATGTTCCCATCATCTACCCTCCCACACCCTAAACTCGAACACACCCTAGGCCCCAAACGGTCCCCGGTTACATGAACTATGTGTACATTCAATGTGTACATATGTACACCACAAGTTTGATGGACAACGTGCATAACATGATGGATTAACAGAGTCGGGGGATCTGCTCACCATGGATGCTTAGTCACGTCCGCATCCTATGTGGTGCGGCTGGTGTCATGGCAGAAAGTGGTCCGACGGACCCGAGATGCCTCCAGCGTGTAAGCAATGCTTACCCTGAACCCTTACAGGGACCGTACACCCCAACCTATGCGTCTTAACTTTAGGGCAGCCTCGCGCCGAATGATGCCGCCTGCCTAAGGCTCCAGTTTCCGACTTGGAGCTTTGCCCACAACGGGTTCATAAACAAAAACCGTTGGAAGCAGAACTCGCCGAAGCTCGGCATCCAGCCACGGCAAACCAAGCGCACTGTGGCAATGGCCGTGTATGCTACAAACTCAGAGCTGAACCGCCACACCCCTGTAAAAAAAGATTCTGTCGGGCTGCTGTCTGTCGTGAAGATCGCCGTGTAGATTGGGAAGGGGAAGAACAGCAACACTCGGAGGTAGAACCTGATTTCGGCTTTAAGTTGGTTCGATTGCAAACAACAACAACAACAACAATAGCAATATCAATGATGCTTCAGATGCTACTTTCGGGTTTACGGTCCGTGTGTCTCACAAATAAAGCAGGTGCCAGTCGTTTGTTCACATATCGAAGAATCCGAGATGATGCATTCGTTACTCTTGGCATCAACCTCACCGTGCAAGGCACAAATCCTGCATGGCCCCGCAGAGACAGATTGCAGCAGCTGTTGATGATGTTTTTGTTGCAGTGGTAGCCGTTTTGCTCTTAAGGGTTGACGGGCAGGTGTAGTGCAACAGCAGCAACAGAAGCAATGCTGGTCGGAATCACGAGGCCCTTGCCAGAATTGAAGAACATAGAGAGCAAACTCAAATCAGCAGGCCTGCATTCTACACGCCGTAGAATCAAGACCTTAAACATTTCTGCAGGTATATTGCCTTCCAGGTACCTGTAACATAAAGATCTACGGACCCTTTCACACAGCAAACAAAAATATGGCCTCAACAGCATGCTCCGAGAGCCCGCCATCGCTTGGCGTCGGTGCCAACAGCCGGCTGCCCACAGACGGGCAGTGGCACATGGCGTGACAAAGAGTTTTAGGGCATGCGGCTTAGGTTAGTGGTTTACATGTGCGGCTGGGTTTGGTAGGGAGTTTGCAGATGCGTCGAGGTCTTGTGTATACAAAAGCTGTTTGTTCCGCCAAGGTTCTGTGCTTGAGCTTCAGCTTGTCGGACAATGTCGAGTGGTTGTTCGGCATTCCCGTCTTATGTTGCGAGAGCTTCCAAATCTAAATAGGATAGTTTCTGATAGCGGATTGGGAGAGTTGCGGGTCCCCTTCACAAGACGCACTGCATCCGTCGCGCTGTGGACTCGAGGGCTTTAGTAAATAGTGGGCTTTGTGTTATCAATGAACTCAAAACATTCATCGCTAAGTACGGTTTGACGGAAAGCGGGCGTCACATGACATGCAACACAATACAGTCGGAGGTGCTATTTCACGCTCAGGCAGCCCAATAACTTCCGATGATGTGTAACAAGCCGGCACATTCGGGTTGTGACACCCGAACCTGTTCCTGTCAGTCTGCATGCGTGAAGTAAATGAAACAATGCGAAAAGTTAGTGAAAATCTTATTCGTCAAATTCCGAACCTGCAAAATCTCGGGTTCCCGAGTTCGCAGCTCTTGCGCATGTCGCCATGACCTGTGCGTCTTCCATGAGTGGCAGAACATGCTTAACCTGAGCGTGTCTGTGTGTGTGTGTGTGTCTGCTTGTGTGCGCGCACGTTTTTGTCTCTGCAAGTATGTACATACATACATACATACATACATACATACATACATACATACATACATACATACATACATACATACTTTACTTACTTTACTTACTTTACTTACTTTACTTACTTTACTTACTTTACTTACTTTACTTACTTACTTACTTACTTACTTACTTACTTACTTACTTACTTACTTACTTACAGGCATGCATGCATGTAGACATACATGCACATGGACATGTACACAGACATGGATACAGATTTACAAGGTTCTACTGAGTTATTGTATTGCATGACATTGCATTCTATTGTGCCCTGTTATGTGTATCTTTATGTATGTACACCCGTATATTACATATTCACATGTCTCGTACTGCAAAATCATTACTGCATGTATTGAAGTTGATGTCACCTTATCTGGCTGAGCTGCGGCCTTGCATGTCAAACGTGAGTGAGGCATGAACAGGCACCCGAACTTCCTCTAAACCCTAAGCCCTAAGCCCCCGCTGCGATCTGACGACTTAGACTGGGGCCAATCGTTCCAGCAGCGCTTGGTGCTGCTGCTGAACGGAGATGCCTTCCTGCAAATTGCCACAGCCCCGGCCCTGTGATTTCCAGGCGCAATGGCCAACATAACTGCTGACTGGGCAGGTTTTAAAGTTTAAATTCTACGGGTAAATACCAGGCCCCAACGATATACCATCCGAAAGCGTCCCAGCCCTGGTGGAACGACCCCAGTGCTACCACCGAATTTAGTTTGATGTCGGAGTGCAGAGATCGTTGAATATCAAACTGCTAGTACTAGGCGTGAGCGGTGCGAACTCGCCTGTTCAATAGCGCCGGTCCTCGCAAACAAAGAGCCATGGGATACTGTTGCTGTACACTGTACACGATCCGTTGCTGAGTCGCTGCCCTGCAGCCCCGATTAAAAGGCGCACGGGCGGTTTGTTTTGGGAGGCCTGTGAATATGGGCGGGGTTCAACACACCATGGCAGGATGGCAGCCCGACCCGAGGCATTCATTCCCACGGTGCTTGAGTAGAGCCATAGCGGAGTAGGACGTGCCACAACAGTTTGAGTTCTTGCAGTGCTTTTTCTGGATGGCCTAAGTCTGCTTGCTCGGCCTTGTCTTCGGCTGCTCGGCGAGCAGCGGCCCCTACTAATGCTGGCGTCAGCATGCCCTTTGGCGCAACTATGCGTGCGAGCTCCGGCATGCGGGGCCCTCGGAAGTCGTTCGGGACCTCGTCGACCGACAACTGCGACCCAGCATGCCAATGGAGAAGCATGCCGTACTGGCTAGCCATGCTCTGCAATTGAGCACCGATCGAGCTATCTTTGAACGATGGATCAGCGACTATGGCATCCACATCTGGTCCCAAATCAAGCTGGCCATGTACTTGGGCTTCGATGTAATGGTCGAGGTTCCTTGCGGCTGGGAAGCTCCACTTGTCGCTGAGAGGCGCATGAAGAACATCCAAGATGCGACTGGCGAGCGCCGGAGGACGCAAGCCGATGCCCAATGCTCCGTCTCTCGTGAAGCTCTCCTGGAACAGTTCTGAGAGGATATCCTCCCAAACCTCGTAAGTTCCGCGAGCGGGCGGATCTAAATGCGAGTCGCCGTAACAGAAGGTAGCTCGCTTGGTTGCATCAGGGGAAAGCAGAAAGTAACAAGAGCCAAAGCGGGGCGCAGGGCCGTCTGACTGCCCGAGAAGAAACAAGGCGCCATATTTTGGACGCAAGCTGGGAGGCGCTTGCTCATAGGCCCCACCGAACAATCGATTTTCCCACTGGTCTCGCTTCCCGCCTGGTGCAGAATCTACTCTACCGTTGGAAATCTGCGACTCGAACTGGCTCTGGATGCAGCCTGTGGCCAACAAGGATCCGGCTACCGTCTCCCCACCTTTCACAAGTCGGTCTGGATGAAAATGAATTGCAACTCTTCCATGAGCCTGCAGCGCAGAAGTCAGCTTCCCCACCGTGTCTGAAGGCAGAGCACTCATTTCGAAAAGCTCCGCTAATGTTCCTGCTGCTCGCTGTCTACGCTGCGTCGCCAATTCTTTCACATGATTGATCGCGACCTCCGCAGGTGTGGCTGTACATGCAACCGACATGGCAGTTGAACGAAGTTTGCTGTGCGCCTAAGCGCTCAGCTAGATTGCCGATGGCCCGGCGATGCTGCACTTGAGAAAGGACGCTGAGGAGTCTGAATGAAACCCAACCCACAACACAAAGCATGTGGAATCTGGCGCACGGTAGAGCCATACTACCATCCAACATAAAACTGACCTCAAACAGAGAACTGTCCGGCTCTGACTCTTGAACCCTTGAAGAGCTGCCTGAACCTTCCAACCCCATAGAGCCCACACCCTGCGGCTCGAAACGATTCGAACAGTCGCAGAAGCCTGCAACATGCCGCTATTGTGTACCGGGCCAAACTCGCTCAATATGCTGCTCCGAATGCGAAATTCCAAAGCTGCGGCCCTGTGTCGTTTACACTACAAAACAACTTCCCTATGGCCCATGGAAACATGCATCAAGAAACGATGTCTCCACAAACGTACATGTACATCTTGACGCGAGAACAACCAAACTGATGCACAGGCCTGACCAACCTTCCAGGAAAGAGAAAGCTGCAAACATTCGTCTTGCAGGTCTTCCAGCGGCAACTCCTAGCAAACTCAAGCGACGAACTTGCTCAACAAATGCAGGCTCTGAACGTTTCGACCACGTCCTTCCACAGCAAGACCTTCTTGATGTTCTCCACCAGCTCCTTCTGGATTGGACACCGCAATAGCCGGCAGCACCATGGTGGCTGGAAGCAATCGGGAAGCCATTGCAACGACGGGGGCTGGAAGATTATGGGAGCTTATGACGTGTAACAGCGGAAGAATTGTTGAAAGCACACATGGCTTCAACAAACCACAAGCCACAAACAATGGAATTATGTTACCGCCCTCTGCGTTGTGAATGAATATTTTGCCCGTCCTGCCCCCCCCCCCCCTGCAGTAAGGCATGAGATATCAGCTGAAAATGGCCTGTCGCGTCATGGTACCGAAGGCCTCTTGAGGCAAGCCGGACACCTGAAGGCACAGTTGCAGTCTTTCTTTGACATGCCGCCGCTCAAATCTATCAACTCAATCCAACTGCATAATTAATGCAGCTCGCGGCATCACAACTTTGTGCTTCATCTAAAACTCAATTCACAACATCATGTAGGAATGTGTCATGTCGGCGTAGCGGTGGCATCGAAACTGAGACCGCTGCCGAGGCGAGCCTCCGGTTGCAAACGCTGCGATCATATACTGTTTTCTATCATATAATATTATATATAATACTACACACACACATATATATATATATATATATAATCATGAAATAATATAACTTATATAATATAACTATATCATATGCAGGAACAGTACAGTAACCGCCGAAGATCGGACAATCCTGCAGCCGAAAACCAGGGAAAAACCATCTGGTCCCGCTTTGCCGTGCCACTTCAAGTTGGGTTTGACCGTGAGCTGAGTGCCACGCTCTGCTTGAAGACCGACTTCCCGTCCTACCTGGTCGTTCGTGAAACGTGCTACTGACAGCCAGTTGGGGCCTACGTTGGGACATCGCGTCGTCAGACAGGGCCCCAGCGAATTTCACAACTTACATGGCTTCTTGGATTTCAGATTTCACGAAAGCCAGATTTGGGGAGCTTGATGCTCCAAAAGGCCTTTGGGGATGCATTCGCAGTGCATTGGATGTGTGATTCTTCACTTGCATTTGCGATGTATACGGTTGTCATGTTGAATATTTCCGTAGTGTCGGAGATGCCAAGCAGCCTTTGAAAGGAGCCTTGTGGGGATTTTTCGCGTCTAGGGCTTTGTTGATCAGGTCCTGAAAATGCTCTTAAATAATTTGAGAGTTTGGATTTCGAGGTGGTAGGATTGTGCAAGGCTTGAGCGCCTCAAACGCAAGATAACTTTTGAGTCGTTGAGGTGACCTCGAAGGACTCAAGGCAAAAGGTCTTTCTGCGATTCGGGAAGGAGGAATGAACGCCACAGTTGCAAGTTCATGATGGAGTTAGCTTTATAGGGTCCTTTGGCCTGCTAGGGTCTTGCAGTTGGTTGTGCATGCTTACATGGCTGTCGTTCGCAACCAGGATTCCTAATTATGAACGTGATAGGTATACTGTTTGCGACTACTGCGGAATGAGCTGATGAGTCTCTATTCCAACCGACGCCAGGTTTCAAAAGCACGGAGTTGGACTCTTCGTCTGATGCAGTCTTGATCCTTTCATGAGGACCGCTAAATCGGACAGCCCGAAACCCTAATGTAGGGGCCTCAATAATTAGCATAGGGCTTTGGGGTATATTGTACTA